CTTCACCCACTTTGGCATCTTTTGAAGTGCTTCAATGAAGGGAATATTTACGCGAATTTCCTTCAACTTGTCCAAAAATCTTTGATATTCGGCATCAAGCTTCTTCTTTATAAACTTTTGAGGATAAGGAATTGGAGGGACTTGTGAAGGCACCGTCGATGGTGGCTCGTCATGAGATGATTCTTTTTCCTCATTCTTTTTCGGCTTCTCGATTACCGTGCTTCTCTTCTCTTTTCGTGGGGCTTCCTCCAATTGCTTACCGTTCTTCAAGGTGACTGCTTGGCATGTCTCGACCTCGATCTTTTTCGTTAGCAATCTTTGTGGATATGGGATCGGCTCGACCCATTCGGCTACAGTGACTTGCGGCTTGATTTGAATTTCTTCCCTTTTTTCGCTCTTGACATCGATAGCTTGGCACGTCTCGAACTTTTGATTTCGAGGATCTTCCGTATTCGATGGCAATGCTCCCGGCGGGCGGTTCTCTTGCTTCAAAGCTAATTGAGCGAGTTGATTCTCCAAATTTCGCAACGAGGCTTGGGTAGCGGTCATGAATTGGGCCAATATCTCATCCGTGTTTGATTTTTGGGCCGGTGGATTGTTGCCTTGATAGCTTTGTTGAGGAGGGGCTTGATTTTGGAATTGACCTTGAGGTCTTTGATATCCTTGGCCTTGTTGATTTCCTCCATATTGCCCTTGTGATCTCCACCCTTGATTTTGGAATTGGCGAGGCGCATTGTTGACGTAGTTGAGCGACTCCACATCTTGTTGGCATTGGAGCGTGTAATGATTTCCACCGCAAATTTCACAACATGGAGAATCGATTGCTTTGACTTGTTGTGGTGGACTTGCTTTGATGTGCTGCAGAAGGAGTTGATTTTGTTGAGCAATTTGGGTCACTTGAGCTTGAAGGGCCGTAATTGCATCTAACTCCAACACTCCGGGAATTTTCTTAGCTCCACTAACCGTCCTTTCGCTTGACTTGGCAAACCGATTTTGAGCAATTTGATCCAACATGATGAAAGCATCCGGTAACGATTGACTCATAAAATTTCCCCCGGTGGATGCATCTAAGACCGTTCGTGCATTCTCGTTAATCCCTTGGTAGAAGATGTGGATTTGCCGCCATTGTTCGACTCCATGTGTTGGACATTGCCGCAAAAGAGTTTTAAATCTCTCCCATGCCTCGTATAATTGCTCGCCTTGCTCTTGGACAAAATTGTGAATTTCTCGCCGGATTCTCTCGTCCTTCTCGGGTGAGCTATAGACTTTCATGAAAAGGTTGAGGAGTTGAGGCCACGACGAGATAGAGTGGGGGGCTTGGGACATCAACCACTGGCGAGCTCTTCCTTGTAGGGAGTGCTTGAAGAGAATTAATTGAAGCGCCTCTTGGGAAACGCCGTTTTGACGGTGAGAATTACAGGTATCTAGAAAATTGACAATGTGAAGATGGGGATCTTCACCTGCCAACCCGCTAAATAGCCCGTTATTTTGGAGCATCGTCAAGAGGCCTTGCTTGATCTCAAAATTGTGCGCCTCAATAGGTGGATATTGGATGCTCGGGCGGAATCCGTCATGAGTAGGGATTATGTAGTCTTGAAGTGCCCGTGGCCTAGCTGCTGGCTGTAATGGAAGTTGAAGGGGTGGGTCTTGGACTTGGTTTCCATTGGCATTGATTAAATTACCCTCTGCGCGTATGCGTTCTTCGTCTTCCATTGTATTGGTTGCGTGTTGACGTCTCCTAGCGGCTCGAAAAGTGCGTTCGATTTCGGGATCAAACGGTTCTCTAGCAAGATTGAGTCTCCTAGGCATACACCGTACCTAAAACAAAAATAAAATAAAACAAAAATTAAATGGGTGAATCGTGAAAATTGTTCAAATATAGAGCTAGAATAAAATAAATAATTAAAATAGTCCCCGGCAACGGCGCCAAAAACTTGTTGGTCGAAAACCTACACGCAAGTGCACGTATCGTACAAGTAATATAGTGGACTAAAAGTCCGGATATCGAACCCACAGGGAATATTTAATTACTTAATCCTAGACGCTAAATTCTACCAATTATTATCAAGCCCACCCTACACAGTCGAGTTTTGAGAGAATAAACTAAATTAAACTAAATTAAAAACAAGCAAAAACAAGAAAGCAATTAAAAACGAAGATTTAATCAAAGTAGACAAGCCTAGGATTTTATTCTTCCCCCTATGTGATTATTACTCCCCCAATTCCCTCAATTATGCAAGCAATTAACCCGGATTATTAACCTGAGATGCTAAAATAATCATAACCCGCTTCCGCGTGTATTACGATTCTAATACTCTAGATTCAATTACTATATTCCTATGCAATTAATTCTAGAACACAGCATTAAGCACAAATCTCAATAATGGCTACCTAAGAGATTAACTATATTCCTATGTTAATACCACAAAGGCTCTTCTACCACAGTTCTAATTATTAACCCGATCTTCCGATTCATGCGATTAACAATAACATAAAAGCACATAAGTTGATCAAGTTCATGCACTTAATAAAACAAGTAGAAGAAATAATCCGGAATTAAAACTTGCATAAAATCATAGAATTGGGTTCATAAATCCCACATAGGGTTCCAAATAAAATCCTAGAAATAAGTAGTTTAGCTACTCATAATTAAATCAAAAACGCAAATAAAATAAATCATAGACGATAAATCTTTGCTTGGAGTCTTCGAATTCTTCGTTATTGCTTTGTTGCTCTTGAAATTGCGTAAAAAGATGGATCCCTAATTGTGTGCTTGGCTTGGTCTTATATAGGGTGAAAAACTTGGGGAAGAAGGCAGTTTCCTTGTACAATTAAGATTCCCTCACTGCGCCAACTCGCCCATCCGGACGGCCGTGTGAGATTTATGGCTAAAATCCGCACGGCCGCGCGGTCTATTCTCCAGAATTCTGCTTTTTTCACTTTTGGCCCATATTTTCTCCAAAATTGCAGTTTTGACCCCATACTTTTCCAATTCTTCAATTTGTACCTAAAATACAATAAATCAACTTTTTAAGCACCAATTATCGTTAAAACACACCAAAAGCTCAAATAAAAAGATACGATAAAGTGTAAAAATATACACTTAACAGGACCCAAAAAGAGGGAAAAGTATAAAATATGATGTCACCAGTACTTATGCTGAAGGAGTTTTAAAGAGAAGTCCAGCTTTAGTAAATTCTTCTTGTGCTACTTTAAAAGAGTTTCTCCCACCTATATCAAATTTTCGTGAAGCCATTATAAGCTTGATAAACAACACAATTTTTAAATATATAAAGGTAAATAATAAACCTTTGCTTTCTTGCCAAAAAAGAACTGTATGAAGAAGCTCCAGATTTTCATCAACTTTTCTCTTCGACAACTTGAAAGCCAACTGCAAAAAATCACATTAAAACAGCTCATTTTATCAAAAAGAGGGTGTGTGCTAAATCTTATTACACCATGTAATATCACAGACCCTATACCAATTCCGACAAAGAAGCTACAGGAAATCATATATGATGCAGTTTTAAGTTTTCACATGCTATTTATAAATCATGGTAGAAATTAATAGATCAATCTCATCAAATATACATGCTAACCGACCATAGGAAAAACTTGAAGCATAGGAAATACAACTAATTAAATTAGAGTCAGGTACAACTGACAAAAGGCTAAGAGTAGAGATTTGTAAGACAACACTTTCTATCAAAATAAAATGAAAATGTTTCCAATTTAATGCTACTAAATATCTATAGAATTTTATATTAAAGAACAAAATGTTTCTTTGTCCTGTAACAATTAAAATATGTGAGTAAACTCACAGTAATTGATAGAACCTTATCAATCCTCATTTTGGTAGATATAACCAATAATCTCAATTTTCATATAATTACCATTCAATGTACCATGACTATAGCACAAGTGTACAGTACCATGACTTTAGCACAAGTGCACGTAAGTTTCAGAACAACCATCTTAGTAGAAACAAGAATTGATTGAAGGCTTTCCATTTATTTTTCCAAAACCAAAGGCATAGTCAAGTGTGGGTTAAAAAAAACAAAAAGAAAGCATACCATTAGGAATGTCCTTAAGATGTGTTCTCCGTCCTGGAAATATTGAAACAACACAGTTATTAGTGAAAAATTAAATACACTTTTTGTAATTCATTATATGTAAACACACTATCAGTTAATCTGAAATTTCAATTATCACCGACATTTTAATCACAAACTATTATGTAGAGAGCCAGAAACTGCATCAATTATGTGTTGCATACAAACAAAAAACCTTGTCATCTCTCAAGTTTAACTCACACTAATTATTCACTCATCTTCATAATGATCCATTACCTCTAATATCACATCAATTAACTATCAAATTACATGCTAGTAGTTTTCCAAATGCACTAAAAACATAGTGAAATTAATTCATAGCCATTGAACAGCAAAACAAAAGAATCATTTACTATCTACACAAACCATACAATTTTTTTTACTATTCAACATGACAAACATATAATTTATGTTCTGCATATTCTGATTCAATACAAAGAAATAACCCCCTTATTTCTTCATGTGAAACTTAAACAAATATATACTTCTTATTCCCAATGAAACTTAAATAAATAAAACTTTAAGCAACTTACAGATATAGAAAAAATATGATCCACAGATGAGGACTCCACCATTAAAGTCTAACCCTGAAACTGCAAAGTTGACAAAATTGGTACTACGAGGGAAGGAAAATAGATCTATAGAGACAGACATGAATGATTGTAGACAAATACTTTTTATTTTGTTGATCACTACAATCTAAGATTGGTGAACTAAAATTAGAGGATATTACAAAATTAAAAAATCCAACTATATTTAGTATGAACGAAAAAAATTGAACTATTTATACCTGTATTTATTCACTACTCCCAAGTCGCTATCCACATTAGCGTGAGACGCAACTTCATCATCACTGGTCCAATATTCACCTAAGGTGTCTTCTTCTTCTTCTTCATCTTCTTCTTCGTTTTTATCATTTTGTGTGTGTGGAATAATTATCTTTTCAGCAATTTCAATCTCTAGAGGAGCTTCATCAATTTCGGACCATCCTTTTTAGACTACTAAGATACCTGTAATTATATCGTAAAATATTTAAATATTATAACACATTTAACTACCTAGGTAAATTTATGAAACATTAACTTCAACAAAAAAAATTGAGAAAAAGAAATTAAAATAACTGAACATTTTACCTCTCGATAGGATACATCCATCTATAATGAACAGGGCCTCCCACCTTTGCTTCTTGTGCCAAATGAACTGCTAGATGGATCATAACATCAAAGAATGCTGGTGGGAATATCATTTCCATCTTGCTTAATATCACAGGAATCTTTTTTTCCAAATCATCAAGGACTTCAAGGTTCAATTTCCTAGAACACAATTGTCTGAAAAAACATGCCAACTCGGTAATAACATCGAGAACATCTTTATTAAGGTAACCACGTAGTCCTACTGGAAGCAAACGTTGTAACAAAACATGGCAATCGTGACTTTTCAACCCTGTTATTTTATCATCCTTGATATTCACACACCTGGAGATATTCGCGGCATACCCATCTGGAAATTTTACTGCTTTTAAAAATTCACAAAATCTTTTCTTCTCCTTTTGAGAAAGTGTAAAAACCGCACGCGGCTTTAAACACTTGACTTTACCTTCTTTATTAGCTTTGGCACCTTCTTTATCAATATCCATCCCATTAGTGAGTATATGCAACTTGACTAGTGGAGGTGGATGTACAATCTGATTCAAGCAATTACTACATGGACAACGCATAACCTTTCTCTCCCCAATATGCATTAGAGCAAATCTCATGAAATTTTTAACTCCAGTAACAAAATCATTTGATGTAAAATCATTGAGCTTGATCCAACTCTTGTCCATTTACAATGTTTAATCCTAAAAAAAAAAGATGTGCATTACATTTAAAGAAATCGACTGTGTGTAAGGATCGATGTAAATAATGCAGACTGAATTTTTCAAAATAAGGCACATCACGACTCTTGTTATAAAAAAAAAAGTAAGAAAAAACATTGAGATTACTAATTGAGTTAACATAGCATATTGAGATTTGTATTTTGGTTTCTGGATTATTAGAAACCGAAGTAATGATTTCGTGTTCTGATTTTTGGCAGAAGAAAATTAAAGCCCTAATTTCCATCTATCGAAATCTGATAACAACTAAAGGCAAAAAATAAACAAATTCTTAATCCAACTATTCACCAAACGAATCCTCGCAAATTAATTATCCGTACCCGTATGCCTAAATAGTGTGTGACTCCAAGTTAATGTCGCTATTTTCACCGAACCACCTCTGCCAATGTCGACCAACCGCCGATGCCTGTGTCTCCAGATTGTGTTAATTACTTGTGTCCGTGTTGGGATGTTAAACGATGATGGGTGCTGTTGAATTCTGGAATTGGATGCGAAATTTGATTTTCAGAAAATTGGGGGTATTGGCCGTGTACGGTGATGTGCTGTTGTGGTGAAGAACCAAGTTTCTTTTTTTCTTAAAGAAGCAAAGTCTGGTGCAATCTTCAATGCGGCCTTTTGTTGGCTAGGTTATTAACACGATTTTTCATTCTTTTTTCTATAAAACAAAAAAGAAAGTTTTATTAAAGTAATTTTTATTAGGCACTCAAAATATCTCCAGAACAAAAGTATACTAATTAACTTAAATAATGTTACCTATATCAATAAGAAAATATCAATAAATTAGTAGTTTTTAATATTTAAAAAAAACACAAAATTATAATACATTTTAATTTATTATCAAACTTTGTATTATGTTAACTAAAAATTAGTATCACAATTTTTATTGGTGCTCGGTTCCTAACCGTCGGTTCTCGATTCAGAAAATGAGGAACCGGAACCGAACCGGTTTTTTCAGTTTTGGTTCCAGTTCCGGTCAAACCGGTTCTGATTCGGTGTGTGTGTGTGTGTATATATATATATAAACAAAAAATATTTTACGTATTTAAAAAAACAATTAAGTTTTTTAAATATACTTTCCACTTAAAAAAAAAGAACTATTTTTAAAACCAGGAACCGAACCGCAAGGAACCGGATTTTTTCGGTTTGGTTCCGGTTCCTCCAAAATCGGAACCGGAACCAGAACCGAACCAAACTGTGGCCAGGTCTAGAGTCAGCACGTGACATGAATTAGTTGGCTCGATTAGTAATAGGATTAAAATATGGTTATAATCATACACCATTTTAATGTATTAGCTTTATAATTTTTATTGGTTATTCGATCGAAGTGCAAATGAGTTGAGCCGGCACGTGACATGATGAGTCGGCTCGAGGTTAGCTTGAACTCGAGCACTAGTTCTTCAAGCTCCAGATTTCTAGTTGTTCGTGAGCTCACAAGCAGACTTCCGAGCTCTTTTTAATTTCAATATTAATTTTTTTTTATTATAAATATAAATAATATATAGCAATATGAAGTATAGGGGGTGGTAAACGAGCTGAGCCGACTCGTGAACTCGATGAGCCTGCTCGAAAAATGGCTCGAACTCGAACTCGAGTTTTTCGAACTCGAGTTTTTCGAACTCGAGCCTTTTCTTAGTTGTTCATGAACTCACGAGCCGACTCACGACTTTTAATTAATATGTCGATTTAATTTTAATATGCACTACTTTTTTGTTTTCCTCTCCCCATTACTATCTTCACTGGCCCCACCCCACCCCACCCCTTCGTTTCTTCTTCTTTGTTCTTTTTTATTTTTTCCACTGTTCCTTTTTTTCACCTCATTTCTCTCCATATTCAGAGAACATCATCTTTCACATATTTCTTTTCATTTTTCATCCATCTTCACGTAACAGTACTTCTTCTATTTACTTTCTCAGTTTTCTTTTCCCCCCTTTCAGTCCATTGATCTAGCCATCCACAACTCCGATTTGGTCATATAACACACATATCCGACCACCCACAAAAATCCCCAGCCCAGATTCGACCACCGCGGCGATCCCCCACCCAAATCCGGCAACCTACCGCCATTTTAGGCTAAAACCCGGTTCATTAACCGGTTTCCGGGTCTACCGGTTTTTCCGGTTGAACCGGATTTTTTGCTCATTGACCCCAATTTTTGATTTTTTTGGTTTATACAACCTAAAGACAAATTAGTAAAAAAAATATTTTTTTTTGGCGCCTAAGAAGAGATTTGGCGGTAAAATAATAGTTGATAAGGTAAATCCACCTCTCCAAGTTTCCCACGATAGAATCCATCGTGATCTACTCCAGAAATATATATCTCCCTTTCATTCCCTTGACCTTTCATATTACATTAAATCACCGAGAAACAGATCTAGAAACAGAACAGGGGAACTAAACAGAGGAATTTTTGCTGGTAAATTTACTTCATCTAACGTAGTCCATCTGTTTATTTCATTATTTATTCATTATTCATTAGAGTATTCTAAACTATTGGAATAACCCATAACATACAAAATCTTGTTGGATTATAATAGTTGGAAGTTTTTTTTGAAATTGTCTTTAATATGTCCTATTCTTTCAAATCCGTATTATGTTATTGTGGTTTTCATTTTACCAGATAATTGGATTTATCATATGAATTGGTTTGCATTTGCATGTTATATTGGTAAAATGACTCTTGATTTTTTTTCTATTCTCTGTGATGGAGATGGCGTGTTATGCAAAAAAAAAAAAATTATGTTGCACTTATTCATACAATCAAAATTAACAGAGATCAATTTATGTACAAATTAAGCCTTATAGCTATATTAGTATATATTTAATTAGTATTGAATTTTATGAAATATTTTTTATGTTTCTCTTTTATTGATATCAATATCTCAATTCTTTTCAGATCTCAAGTCTAATAATGAGTACAGATCATAAACGTAGAATGGAGTTATTAACAGCAATGGCAGCAACTAACAATACCGGAAATTTGAAGCGTAAGAAGGAGTTAGCAAATGCTTTAACTGCAAATGGTATAGCTAATGAGCCAACTGAGAATTCGTCTCTTCGAAATTTAAATGGTAATGATATTAACATGTTATTTTAATTTATTTGCAGTTATATATAAAAAGTTAATTTAAGTTAATATTTTGTACTTTGAATATTGTAGTTTCAAGTAGAAATAAGAGAGTGTTTGTACCACCGACTAAATCAAGTATTTCAAACTCTTTGACTAGACAATCGGCAACAAACGCAAAAACAAGCGATAAAGGTATTTTTTTTTCTATGATTGAGTTTATTTTTGTAAACTTTGTTTATTAAATAGTATAAATTTATATATTTCCTTAACGCATGTAAATGTAATCAATATTTACAGCTAGAGTGCATACAGAAGACCTTCACGAACAACATGTGACTAATGCTTCGAATGAGCACACTGGAGTTGTTGTTACAGGTTTTGTTAAGTTGTATATTTTTTTTTTTAAATATTTTTACTTCTAACTTTTATTTTAAAAAACTAATTGTAGAATCAGTCGTAGATACGGTGGATAAAGCAGATGCGATAAAAGGTAATGTTAAACATACTATTTTTTCTTTTTCTTTTTTAATCTGTATTGGTATATTAACTATTGATTTATCTTTTATTTACTTATGTTAATTATGGATTAGTGGGTCAAAAACGAGGTCGTGGACTGACTAGGGGGTTAAATACCCAAAAGTATAAACGCAAATCTGGGGGGGAGAAGCCAAAAATTGTTATTCCTAAAGGAATAAACAGACCCGTTGGGGAGCATAGCTCCAAACATGCAACCGAGATTGGGGTCTTAATTATGTGTGAAGCTCCAATGCAAGTTGAGGGTTGGGCGAAAATTCCGGATGAAACAAAAGATCATCTTCTTAGGAAGTTGACTGTAAGTGATGTTGTTAGTTATCTTCATTTAAAATTTTCTTTTAGTCCATATTTAACAATATCATAGTACCTAATTCAAATGTTTAAAATTTTCTAAATGTCAAAAAGAATAAGCTCAGTTATGAACTGGAGGAGCCTCATGTTGTTCAATGCATTTGGAAGTCTTTTGCCAAACAGTATTCATCTTTTCGTTCAAATGCTCATAAATATTATTTAAAATGGAAAGAAGGAGGTGGTGTGACACTAGCCAGACAGAATATATACGAAAAACTCGGTGATCGTCGTGACGATTGGCTTTGGTTGTGCGATTTTTGGGAGACAGCAAAGTTTGAGGTACTATATTATTTTAGACAATTTTTGTTATAATAAATGGATATTACTGATTAGAAAAATGATTCATTACATTATTTTTTATTATTTTTCAATATTTACAGAAAGTTTCAAATACTCAGAAAAGCAACAGGAAGAAACTGACATATAGTCATAAATTGGGAACAAAGTCTCGTGCAACACATCAACATGAGAAAGTTAGTCATATATTTTCTTACTATGAAATATTTAGTTGTCGACGTAAATTAACATTTGAATTGTTACATCACAGGGTTTTGATGATATTGATATGTATGAGGTTGAATACCATAATCCGAAAAATGGATGGGCATATAAAGATTTTGAGGCAAATAGTGTAAGTATAATTCATATTTAGGTTGTTTCTTAGTTTGTTTGATCAATTATACTTGTGTGTTAAAAGTAAATAATTTATCTATAAAATAATTAACATATCGACTCATATTTGAAAATAGGTTCGAATGAAAGAATTGAGAGAACAACAAAGAGCTTTGCCAGAAGGCGTTGATCGAATGACCACAGAAGAAATTTGCATAACAGTTTTAGGGGAAAATTCATCATATGCTAAATCGAAAGGTCTTAATCGAAAAGTATCTGGAGTTGATGCTATTTCATCTTTTGAAGCTTCTAGCAGTCGAGCACGATTAGAAGAAGAGTTGGCGAACACACAATCTGAGTTGGCAAGTACGAAAGCTGAGATGGCTATTCAGAAAACTACTGTAGAAGCGGTAGTAAAATTCATGGAGCAGATGACTGGCAAAAGCTTTGCTGAAATTATAAACGTACCTAATTGGTGAGTTCAAAACTAGAATAAATCCCGGTATGATTTTATTAATAACATAATTATTTATAGTTAAATTTTTTTGCACTTATTCAAGCTATTCTTAATTTTATCATGCAGAGTTAATTAAGAAGAAATGAAGAAGTAACTTGATTGAGGTGTATTTTGCTTTATGAGACGTATTATTGCCATGGGCAAATTATGATTTAAGTTTTTAAATTTAGTTGATGTTTATATTTTGGGCATATTTCATAGGGATCTTTGTCTTAATTTGGATATGAATTATGGTAATTTTGCTTAACACTATGAGTTTTTAGTTTTTTTTATGATATGGTTATCTGCTTTCTTTAGTGTCGTATTATCTTTAAAAAATGAAAAAAGCTTCTTGTTTTGCGAAGGAAGTTTGCATTCCGCCGGAGAAAAGAGATTAGAAAACAAAGAGTTTTGCTTATTAATTTATTTCTCGTATTATTTCAATTTTTTTTTCCTATTTTACACTATGAGTACACAAGAATATGAGTAGAAATATATCAGAATTATGAGAGAGAGCGAACTATGAAAGAGAGGGAAGAAACGAAAGAAAAGGGAAGGAAAAACAGGGTAGGTGGCAACGAAGAATGAGACATAATCTCGGTGGAACTCTTCTGCCTAAAATAGAATAGCAATGGTTGCTATTGCTGCTGTATTGCAGAAGACATGTTTTCCCACAGTGTCCTTGAGGTTCAAGGTTCAGTAAAAAAAATTCTCAATCGATTATACTATAGTATATATTTGAATTTGGATTTACCATTTGATTTATTTTATTCATGCAGAAGGAAGTCGAAGAAACATTATCTCAAGCTTTTGGAGAAAAGTCAATTTTGTTTTCTGCTCGAACAATTTTAAAGTTCAATGGCGAATCTGACCAACTTATGGATTTTATTAGAATTGGCACTACGTGATCGAACATATGTGTTAGAATTTATTCATATTGTATAGGTTTTATTATGTAGACGTATTATTGTATAATACAAGTATTTTGTGTAAAAGTTAGTTCCATAACCAATCATTAGTTCAATGTAGTTACATTCTGTCATTTTTTTAAATAAATTTAATTAGCTGAATTTATATGCTTACAAGTTAATGATTTTAAGACACTTTAGTTTTGTGTAAAAGACATGTAGTAACTATATATACAATATTTTTGTTATTAAATTGGTCACTGTTAATATTTATTTATATCGACCAAATGTAATTCTCACTAAATACTCCAACTTTGGACGCTATACTAGTACCCGAGTCTTGTTAAATTACAGTGACCATCGATAGTTACCAAATATCAGTTGGTCGTAAAAAAATAAACAACTTAACATTAGCAACTACATTATTTTTGGTGGCTACATTCTTGCTATGAAAATATCGTTAGCAACCAAATTAATTGGTCGTTAATAGTTATTTAAAAATTTATAGCGACCATTGTTTGTTTAGTTACTAAATTGGTCACTATTAACATTACTTACAACGACCGTTTTAAAACAAGTCGCTAAAGACTCTACTCATGGTCGCTCAAGGATCGACAACTAATAGTGACCATTTATAGCTACCAAATCTTGTTTGGTCGCAAAGAAATTGAAGTAACTTCAATTTTGCAACCATATTGTTATTGGTGGCTATATATACATATTTTGCGACTATTTGTCTATCGTCGCTAAAAATTTGGTCGTTAAAGCTAGTTTTTCTTGTAGTGTCTAACTACATTTCAGGGGGTGAGTGTAATTATCGATACCACATGGACCTTAAAATTATTTAAACATACCTCAAGGGTGTGTGTAATTTACCCAAAAACTATTTACTCGCGACTTTTGATGAATTGTGGTATTCATGTCATTCTAACACTATACTCTTAAAACAAAGATTCGAGGACAAATTATGGGAGAGCATTAAATCAAACTCTTGCGAAGAACTAGCCTACAGTTAACGATACAGTGCATTGGGTAAATTTCAATGCAATAGCTTTTGAATCGTACGAGAGAGGTAAACAACACTAAACATATAAGTTATTTGCAACAACTTAAAGTCAATCTTTTGAGCAAATTAAACATAATTACTTAATTATTGTCCGAGCCCTCTCATATATGTATTAGTGGAGTCAGGATTTGAATTAAGTCCAGCGGAACCGAATGTGTTAAAAATAATTGAGGGGATCGTCAATGCTATTGTATACGATTTTTTAATATATTTTTATATTAATTTATAGATATTTGAGAAATGTTGGGGGCCGTAGCCCCCCTAATCCTATACTGGCTCAGCCACTGAATTCATATAAGTTAAATTGACTTTATCGGCTTGAGCCTCAACACATGTACAAAACACAGGGACCAAAGCGCACATGCAGACACAAACTTATACACTATTTAATTTGTACGTGCAAACCATATTTCATTTAATTTTTGTTATGATCTCTATCAAAACCCTTAGCTGTACCGTCCAAGAAATGGTTATATCGTCACGTAGTCTCTATTATAAGAAATGTGTAATCAATTTTTGAAGTATATATATTTGACAAATTAAAATGTATATGTTCATTGTAAGGTATGTATTAGCTTGCAAGTACATATTTAATAGTAATTTATAAGGTTAATATAACTCTTCTTCTTAAAACTTTGAAGAATATATATATATATATATATTACATACCCGTAACCAGGGGCATTCCCATACTTGTGGCTGGGGTGGCCCCCGCCCCCCCCAGAATTTTTTTTTAAGCTTCTTTTTTTTTTTTTGGTTATTTATGTATTTGTTAATGCATTTTCGTCCTCTCAAACTTTTAATTTTGTACACTTAGTCCAAAAAAAAAAAGAAAAACTGATCTCTTAAACTACCCCTATATTTCAGCCCCCCAAGAAATCTCCCTGGGTCCGCTCCTGCCCCTAGCCACCAAATAAACTAGGGATAAATCC